ACCCTCATCTTTTATATTTCAAGTGTTTTGATAAAATGAAAAACAGTTAGGCATAAATTACAAAAATAGATTCTCCTACCGTCAAATTACTCCCAGGAGTGGCACTTAAGGCTAACACTCGAAAATCTCGAGTGGTTTTCACTAGTTCTTGGACAACCTACAACAAAATAAATAGAACATTATGTCTCAAATACCAACAAAGATTTTAGATTAGTACTTATCTTTGAAGGGATTTTAGTTTTTTTTTAAAAAAAAAAACATCTAAAATAAATGGGAAAAATCTGAAAATGAGAATAAAGACATCAGTGATACACAGTTATCAATGATGTGTGAACAGTTTCAAGATATTTGTAAAAAAAAAAAAAAAAAAAGGTAACTCTTTAAAAAAAAAAAAAAAAAAAATATCAAGGATCAAATTTTTATAAATATTTTGGCAAATATGGATCAACATCCCCACAATAAGACGGAGTGTCAAAAGGACTTTTTTTCCAGTGACACTGCTTTTTTTAACTACCTTCACTTCCTTGGGAATATTTGTTTAAAAAGCAATGATCAGAATTTTAATAAAACCTAAACATATGAAAGTGAATTTATTTATTTTTTTGTTTTTGAGACTTGAGAAAAAAATAATAAACACTATTTATTTATTAGATAGGTTAATGAAATGGTTGGCAAAAAACCAACTCATTGCCAATTGATTCGAACTTTATAAAATAGTAAATAATGATTTCCTTAGAGTTGGGTTCACATATTTTAATAATTTAGTAAATGTTTATATAAATTTATGGATAAAAATTGTCTTCATATTTATTTCTTTATAAATTAGTAAATGATAAATATTGCATTGTACTAGTTTTTAGAATGTTGTAAATCTAAAATTATTCTTGTAATTATAGGGAAATATCTAATAAATAGATAGTGTCCATCTATATTCCTGAGATGAGGTATTATGTACATTATTTACATTATTCAGACTATTGTCCTCATCTTTGTTGCCATATTTATTACAACATTTTGGCCTTTCAGTATCTGTCTATATTTCTGAGATGAGATATTATGTACATTATTTACATTATTCGGACTATTGTCCTGAACTGATAACTGACATCCATCAAACATGGCACGTGGAATTAGAACAGTCTACCCCAATGAACGAAATAAAGGGTTCGGTTCGACATTCCAACCACCTGAAGAATGCCGGAGCGTACAACGGCCGAAACGTTGTGATAGATATGGCGAAAAAGATGAGGACAATAGTCCGAATAATGTAAATAATGTAAATAGATAGTGTTTTAATATTTTTGTTGTAAATTCTTAAAAATAAAAAAATATATAACTTCACTTTTCTAATATGTTTAAAAGTTATTCCAATTCTAATCATCAGTTTTTAAAACAAACATTGCCAGAGAGAAGGTATTTAAAAAAGCAGTGTCATGCAGAAAAACCATGCTTTTGACACTACATCTTATTGCAGGCATGTTTGCCAATATTTTCATGGCAGTTGTTCTAATGAGCTATCTTCCTTGATACTTTGACTGCCTGGATTTAAGTGTACTATGGATAGTGGCTCGGATTGAGAAATCAGAGAGCCGAGTTCGAAATTCAGTCAAATCCATTACATTCACTTACATGCTAATACCCTTGGGAAAGGTATGAATCCTCTTATTCACCCCACAACTATGGGTAAATAGCAGGACAGACTGGGTTCTATAGCCTTAGATGGCAATTGGTCTACTGCAGAAAGAAATGGCAACCTACTGCAGGAAAAAATCTGCCTCGTCAGTCATGTATCATAATCGCCTAAGAGTGTATCACTCATGGCACCTAACGGAATTTGATTGACAACTATCTCAAAAGTATAGAGTAATAGTTGATATTTCCCTATCAAAATGATTTTCTAGAACTGTCATTTCTATATTTTTTTTATAATTTTAAATTGATAAAAATGAAACAACGAAAATGAAATTACCTGGCAGTAGGCATAATTACCAAGGGACTTATGAGCTTCATCAATCACAAGACATTTGATTTTATCCGCTTGGCAGGTGCCTCGGCTCAGATCATTAATTAAAACTTGAGGGGTCAGAAATATTACACGTTTTTCCTTCCAAGATTTCTGTCGAGCAACTGGAAGCATTTTGCCTGAAACATAATTTTCAAGTAAACACAAGGTTTCAAAGAAAAAAAGAAAAAAAAAAAAAGTTTTTGTGATACAAACATAAAATTTGTCACTTAGCTGACTGATATTTTTCTTGACTCAAATTTCGTAGACAAACCCACCAGCAATGATTCATCCACTCGTCAGCAGGGGATACCAGCATCACTTTAAACATTATCTTTAGTGGATACCCATATTCAAATAAACTCTTATTAAAAGAGAAATGCACCCAGTAGCAGAATTCAAACTAGCATCCCCCTTTGCGGGAGAAACCAACTCGGTCATGGGGATTAAGCAAGGTTGTATGTTGCCTTTTAAAAAAGCACATCCTTCTTGTTCAAATTCTCAAAAATTCATAACGGCTCAGTTTCAAATCCAAAACATAAACAAAGCAATTTCTATAAAGAAATAAACAATGAAATACAACTATCAAATTTCTTACAATCATACAATGCATGAAAAAAAAAAAAAAAAAAATTCCCCGGAAGAGAGTCCCACATCATTGTTTATTTCTTGTCTCATTGATAAAGGACACAGGCATGTCTGAAAATTCCAACATTAAAATCTCTCTTTCTGTTTCTGTTTAGTCAAAAGGCCTATTAATAAAAAAATAAATATTATTAGTCTTATAAACATTATTTCATTTTATTGTTTTTTTTCTCAAATTTTACTAACTAGCCTATTAAACTGACATTATAAAAAGCAGAAGCATGCAATTTGTCTGATGATCATAAAGAAACCCTATCACATCTATATAAATATATATATATATATATATATATATATATATATATATAAATATTATATATATTATATTTATATTTTGTATACACTTTTCACACACACACACATATATATAACATATAAATATATATATATAAAAATAACTATCCAATTTGAGCATGGAAAATACCTGTTGTTCTGTAAATATACACTATTTTGTGTTTACTGTAAAATTCAATAATTTTTACTTCTGCCAGATGACATGGTTAATCGAAAATTGAATATTAAACCACTAAAATTTTGGCAGATAAAAAGGGAGAACTCATGGAGCAATAAGCTTCCATTTATATAACTGGTTACAAAATAAAACGTTAAACATGTATGAGTAAATCAAATTGCTCGGATTTGTCCATTTCTTCCAATATTCATTATTTGAGGTCGATAATAAGCAGTTATTATATATATATATATATATATATATATATATGTTGTCTGTGGTTCTATGTAGTGAATATACATATCAGCATATGACGGTTCCGTATAAGATGCAGGTTCGAATCCTTCAAAGAACGAAAATTAATGAAAATTTCTTCAGACATTCCACGTTAATAAATATTTATCATAAACAGAGCATTTGCTTAAGTATTATAAAATAACAACGTTAAACATTTTATGTCCCATAATAAATATATATATATATATATATATATATATATATATATATATAATTATTTATTTAAAACATGATTCAAATTACATAACAGGTCTGTTGTTTCAAAACAAGATAAAATCAATATAATCCTTTAAATTAAATTGAGTTGAAATTAAAAAGGCTCCGTTCCATCTTCATATATATTTTTGTAATAACGTCTATCTAAATTTATATGTTTTAAAAGTTGAAATAAAATCACCATGGTAACAGCTATATTGTCTAAAAATGGGTAGGCGAGTGTAGGGTGTTAATGATGAGTGGCGGTATTCCTTAAGAATTTAGATAAGTAAAAAACGAAGATGTATTTTTCAAGTTGGCTTGTCTAATGGAGATTTATTTATTTATTTTATTTTAAAAATATGAAAAATTGTGCATATTAAAAAGAAAAACTTTTTTTTTTTTTAAAGGGTTACATTTTAATTTAAACTACTAATTTGGGCATGGATTATGAAGCATATTGTATGCAAGTTTGTTTTGGCTTTCTACTATTTTCTGATGATTGGGTTATTTGTTAAACATTATATAAATTTTTTATTTCAAACAAAAATCTAGATGCCTACAAAAACCGTTCACTCGTGTCTATTATTTAATAGATTTTATAACATTTAATGTGTAAAAACAAAAAGGGCATGGGTTTTCTCAAGCTTTTACATATCTTGTAATAATTTTCCATTTAACTTTTGGAATCTTATTTTTTCCTATGAACAAAAAAATTTTGATTTTTTTGTTTCTTTTGTTTATTTATTAAAGGAGCACTTTATTTCTGATTTTTTAAAACATTTCTAGGACCAATGTATATCATATTATCCAAGCTCTCTGTGGATGAAATAGTGCATTATATTTATGATTTTGTATCGGCACTATTTTTAAAAATAATAAAAAAAATACTGGAACTTTAATTTGGGTTTTTTCCTATTTTTCTATATATTTTCACAGGTAAATATATATATATATAGACACTTGCAATAGCTCATTATAACAGATAAAAGGAGCAAAAATAACTATCCAGATGAAAATACTGCCCTGTAAATATACACTATTTTGGTTACTGTTTCTTTTCTACTCTTCTGCCAGATGACAGAGTTAATAGAAAATGATGAATATTAAACCACTAACAGAAAAGGGAGATAACTCATTGAGAAATATAATTTTTTTACACTAAGACTGTATCGTGGGATTATTTACAAACTGAACCAGCTGGATGATTTTGTCTATTGCTTCCAATATTCATTAAAGGGAGCTTCATAATACAAGATTATATATATATATATATATATATAGATGTGTGCGTGTGTGTTAATTAGTGAATATACATAATATCCAATGTCATAAGACTACCAGAGTTTCATATTAATGTACAGGTGTCCACGCATAAAATACCTACGTACATGCAAGGAATGTATAAAAAAAAAAAAGATATAAAAAGTGAAAAAAACAAGTGGAGGAGCTTCTTATAGGAGCCAACAACCAATATGAGTACAAAAAACATGCATATTTTTATTATGTAAACCTTTTTTTAGTGAATCAACATATTATAAAAAGCAGAAGTATACGTGGACTATATATATATATATATATATATATATATATATATATATACACACACACACACACACACAGCTCATTATAACAGATAAAAGAAGGCAAACATCAGTACAATAATGCTGATTATCCGTAGTTACTGATACTAAGTCTGTGGTGACTAATATCAACAACTAGCAGTAGAGCCCAGTGTTGCCCGGGGATGTAACAGTAAGAGATAGATCAATTATTGACCATCATAAAGACTGAAAAATAAAATTGACAAAGATTATTGTTTAAGGTTGACGGACACGCATGTCATAATTATTTTTTTTTTTTTTTTACGAATTGGTGAAACCCAAACTGAAACAAAAACATTGTTTTCAATCGTTATGAGTCTACCGATTGAATAGAATTTTATTATAAACAATTGTCTTGTAAATGGAATTTTTAAAGCATTCTGAATGTAAAAATAAAGAAAAAAAAGTGTGCAAGAAAATAAGAAACACTACCTGCCAAAAAAAAAAAAAAAAGTGAAGTTTTTTGAAATCGGTTGAAAATGTAAGAAATCTGATCCCATATATAAATGAACACACACACACACACACACAACCTGGGTTTTATAATAAGCATAAGTCGATATGAGGTGTCCCCCTTTCATTCTCGTGATGCCTCTTAATTGTGTTTTCAAATTGATTTCATGCAAAAACAATTGTTTTTTCCAATTTTTGGTGCTGTCAGAACCACTGCAAGGTAATTTTACGTAGTCCTGTGAAGTTTTGTTGAAATCGGTTGAAAAATGTAGGAAATCCAATCCAATATATAAACATACAGACACACACACACAATCTGCGTTTCATAATAAGTAAGATTACGCAAGAAAGAAAAATAATGTACATTTAATTTAAGCAGACTATCTAATCTGAGCATGAAAAATAATATTAATATTTGAGTAGATGCTCCATTTATTTATTAAACAATATTTATTTTCAAGAGTTAGAGAATGATCTGTGTTTAACGGCACTATTCAGACCATCGATGTAGCTGAGAGGTCAAAGCACGTCACGTCTAATGACAGTTTCCCCTGGGGGAACACAGATTCAAATCCTGCTGGAGAGTGAATATTTTCTAAAATTTCTTGAATATTCAGGCAAGCAGATGAAAATAAATACTGTTTAATAAATAAATGGAATGTTTACTCAAATATGAGTATCTACTAAAAATAATATTTAAGTAATAAGAATGCGTCAGATTAATAAATAAAAAATCCATTGCTTTCTTTAGAAATATACACATAGAAAGGTTAGGATAGAGTCTAAAGCTCTGAATGTTAAACTTCCGAAAGATGATGACTCAATAAAAACACTTTGTGTATTTGGACAACCATGAGTGTCTGAGCTGGGCATCAAGAACATTCGGCCTTGTAAAACCTTGCCCGAAATCATTATGACAAAACCTTTGTTAAGCAGGACCCACCTTGTTTTGTTTGAGATTAATTCTGCCAGCAATTGCTCTGTCCACTCGTCAGGGGATATCAGCATCACTTTAAACATTATCTTTAGTGGATACCCATATTTGAATAAACTGTTTATTCTAAATAGTATTTTATTTCATCTATTGATTATTTGACAAATCTTATTAAAGAGAAATACACCCAATAGCAGAATTCAAACTAGCATCCCCCTTTGCGGGAGAAACCAACTCAGTCATGGGGATTGTTGCTGATTAAGCAAGGTTGTATGTTGCCTTTTAAAAAAGCACATCCTTCTCGTTCAGATTCTTGAAAATTCATAACTGCTCAGTTTCGAATCCAAAACATAAACAAAGCAATTTCTATAAATAAATAATGAAGTGCAACTATCAAATTTCTTACAATCATACAACACATGGGAAAAAAAATAAATAACAAATTCCCCGGAAGAGAGTCCCACATCATTGTCTTGTTTCATTAATTTTAGTCCTGTCTCAACAAAAAAAAAAAAACAGGGCGATGTATATATCTATGAATTGCCATGACATCTTGGAAAAGATAATGGAGTGGTTTTTGTTGCCTTTCTCCATGCTTTTCAATTCAGAACAATCTTTCTCCAAGCCTGGCTGCTAGAGAGCCCAGTCTAACCTGTCATAAGAAAACAGGTTCATGTCTTTCCCATTAGTGCCAAAATGAGTGCAACTGACTCAGAATTTGAACCCAATCCACTTATTCCACTATCAACACCAGTAACCCTTATGCTAACCACATGCTTCTTCTTCTTCGTAGGACTACAACTTTTTAAGAGTATCATATTTTCTTACCTGTCATTTCTGCAATATCCAACTGAGGAATTCCCATAATGTTGTAACAGGCTTCAATTTGTTGTGTCACCAGTGGCTTTGTTGGCGCCATAAAAACTATCTTACCAAGTGGATACCATCGGTAAAAGTTAAACATTACAACAGCAGCAATAAAAGTCTTTCCTAAACCAGTTGGTAGGGCAACTAGTGTGTTTTGAAATAAAGCTGATTTCACAATATCGAACTGATATATTCGGACAGGATAGTTTGTTGGGTAAATCCATTTAAGCCCGGCAGACTTATCAAAACCTGGCAGATCAGGGATTGAAGAAAGGTCGATTTCTGTGGCATCATCTTGGAGTTCAAATGACATCATACCAATTTCTCGGCTGAGGTTTGTGGTTTGTTCAAGGGCTTGCATCAGGAGCTCATCTTCCTCTTCAGAATCAATGGAATTGGTGTTACCATGGGGGCTAGGCTGATACACTTCAGTTTTTTTGTCCGTTTCAGAGGTCTGGGAGGACACAGCTGGGCAACTGGACATTCTAGCCCCCCAAGTTTGAAATAAAGTTCTCTGTTGATTGCTGGCATGAGTGGAAGACTTAACAGGTTTCTTTTTATTCATCTTGGTGAAACGATGGTTTGACATAATCATTGATTAATGGATACTTGACGAAAAAAGAGTGCAGCTGATAACCTTAATTGCAGCTTTCATTATATTATCAGGCTGCAAGTTTTATGGCATTTGATGTAAAGATGTTGAAAGAAATTTCTGACAATCACCAATTTCATTTGATACTATATATATATTAGATATATGATACCATCATAACTATATAATCTGTTCTCTTATTAAAGTTATATTCCAGTATTATTTGGCCAATCAAATTATTTGAGGACATTATTAATATCACAGTGTTATAATTGTTTCTTAATATTACTTGTTGTCTATCATTTATTCAAAACTTAAAACTGTTGGTAAAGACATTTAAAATTATATTGTTGTAGTAATAATTACAATATTTATTTAATCTGTAATTTATACATTATTACCATTGTTTTAAGCTATATACGAGAAAAATGACGCCATTCACAAATTTTTTAAGTTTCAAGAAAAAAAACTCCTATTTAGTCTATTCCAAACATTGAACCAATGAGATTCTTTTTTTGATGAAAATGTTTTTCTTTGCAGGCAGTTTTTGATGTCAAATATTTGAATCTGTTAAGCCATCTTTTATTTTCTCTTTATGTATTTTCTATTTATTTCCATAGTCAGAACAGACAAGCCTGGCCAGCTATTTAAATTTTGACTATTTTCAACCTGATTACTGTTATTCCAGACCCCACACTTATTTTATTTTCCACTTTTTTCCTACCTGTCTGTTTATTCCAACCCTCTCTTTCTCCATGTTTTTTTTTGCTCAAAAAACAAAGTTTGAATGAATTTTCCAGCCTATCCTTTTATTCAGACCTAGCAGCTTTATTTCTGCCTAGCCTTTTATTTGAGAATTATCCTTTTATTTGGGCTTAGCCGTTTTATTTGGACTTAGCCTTTTTTTTTATTCCAATATATCTCTTTATTCAGGCCTAGCCATTTTATGCCAAATTATCCTTTTATTCAGGCCCAACTGTTTTATTCCAACCTACCCTTTTATATGAGACATAAGACTAAGAGTAATAAAGAAAAAAACAAGGAGTTCTAAAATTAATAATGGAGAGATTTCAAAGTAATATACTGAATAAATCATTACATTCAGTAACTGATCTTTTGTCTCATAAATTTTGGATAAAAACAAAATCACAATAATTACCTCAACAAAGGTAAAACTATTTTTCATAAATTCCACTTCTTATCAAGTTTTTTTTTGTTTTTTTTTATTGCTGTGGTTCCAAACAGGAGAGGGGGGTGGTAAATGATTGTTTACACAAACAGATAACAAGTTTTTTTTATTTGGTATTATAAAATGACCCTTATTTTATTTTTTTATCACTATTCCATCTTATTACCAAACTCAGTCACAAGAAAAACATTAATTAATAATTTACCAATTTCTATGAACTGCAACCAATAGGGAAAAAAATAAAACAAAAACTCTATCAAAACAATTTCTATTCTTTTTTTTTATTTAAAATAAAAGCAAAATTAAGTGACAAAAGAATTATTGTCTCTTAAAAGTTTTCCTTTTGAGATTAAAACAAAAACTAATTTAAACTCCATTTTCTTTTTTTTTTTTATTTACTTCAGGAAATAAAAACTCAGAAAAAAATTTACAAGTGCACTGAAAATATATTGACAGAAAAATTTAATTCAGAGCTTTATCACTTTAAGTAAATGACCTTGTGCCAGACATAAGCTTAGTAAATAAATAGATACACTCCTACTTGCACATTTAGAAGCAAGGAATTAAGCATTATTAATTTTAGAACTCTGAACTACCTGAATGAGTAAAGATTTTAATTTTTAAACAAAGAAACTGCTTCTGTGTAGAGACTTAGATAAAAATGGCTAATATTGGGAATAATTCGAGTTTATTTAAATGTGAGATTTAGGATTGTATATTGCAACAAAATATTTCCATAGAGAAGTAACATCAAATTAGACATCTTTGGTGGGATCCTTAAAAATGTTATGGGTACAATGTTTTTAAATAAATAAAAAAAAAAAAAATTTTCTGTAGGCTTCAACCTTTCAAAAATTAAAATCTGAAAGTGAGAAATTACTTACACATGTTAGTTTATCTTAAGGAAAAAAGTTATTTTTTTATCCAAAAAAAATATATTCACATATTTTACAAACCAAACAATGGATGTAAAAAAAATTCTTAAATTTCTTTCGTTTGTTTTTAAATTTTTATTTTCCTTTGAAAGGCAAAAAAGCTTTTCTTTAAAAAAAAAAAAAAAATTTTTTTTTTCAAAAATGTTTAATTAAGGAAGGCAGTTTGATAATGAAAACAAAAATTTTGATATTTTGTAAAATAAAAATCTTTTTTTTCTTTATTATGAATGAAAACACTGTCTTCTCTACAGGATTCTAAAACAAAAATTTAGAAGAATCACTAAAAAGAAAAATAGTTTTTAATTTGTTCAGTTGGAGATAATTCAACTACGTACAGTTTTTCTCAAAAAAAATTCTTTTAAAAATACATTAATAATTCTTATTGACAAATGCTAAGTTTTAATTTAAGTCCAATTTTATTTTTATATTATGCAGATAAATAATAAAAATTAAAAATTGATTAACAAGAAAAGAAAAATAAATAGTAACGTCAAAATTTAGTTGTTCATTTTTATAACATAAATAAACATTGATTTAATTCTTTAAGATTTTTATTAATTTCCTTTCAATCATGCTATCGGGAATACAATTTTAATCTTTTCATAAAATTAATATTTCTATACTCGAAAATTTTACAAATTGAAATTACAAGCAAGAAAATTAAAATAAAATAAACTTTTCTTTTACTTATGTTATTTTTTTTATTGCAAAAGTTATAATCGAATATTTAATATCCACATTTGTTTTCAAATATGATAAATGCTGATAGGATAATTTAGCAAAATAACACTGTGATAGAATATGCCCCAAATTAAAAAATAAATAAATCGAAAAAATCCTGTGAATAATTTTGGTAGAAAATAAAATAATTAACTCGAGACCTGAAGCAATTTTACGTAAAACTAAAAAAAATACTCCAAAATGAAATTGAAATCAATCCCTTTCCTTCCCTTTGATTCAAGCAACATGCAAGTTGCTTTCTGAAGAAATCCTAAGAAAGCACAATCAAGCTCCAGTTAATTACTTACAAATGAGGTTTGTTTTTTTTTGTTTGTTTTTTTTTCAAAGATTAACAAAAAAAAACATTGAAAGCAAACCAATTTTAACAGAGACCAGCCATTTCTTCTTCTTGAAATCCGCGGCATTCATGGGGAGATAACTCGCATTTGTTTTTGTCACCGGTGAAATGTAAAAAAAATGACTGTTTTTCAAAATGAACAGCGGAACGAAAGCAATCTACCCCAGTAGATTAAATACATGGTTCAGTTCAAAAATTCATTGATGGTTATCTAGATCGACAATCACCTGATGAAGCCAGTAGAACACATAAAACGTTATGGTAAACAAAAATAAAGATGTGGATAATAGTTTGTATGTAAATTATAATTTAAATCTAAATAAATGTGAATGTCAGTGTGTCACACTTTTTCAACTTTTTTTACTCCTAGAAGCCATAGCCCAACATATCATACCAATTTTGTGCCCAATCCAAACTCACAATCCTGAAATTTTGGATTCCCAAATTTTCATTACTGCAATTGTTTTTGGCAATTTTTTATGTGATTTTTTGCGATAAAATTTTTTGGTACAAATAACAAAACTTGGAAATGAATTTAGGAATAATCAAAATTAATTGTGGAATCCAATGAAAGTCACCCATGAAATAAAAATAATTGTTCGTATGGAAAGTAAGGACCTACATACATCAAAATGTCTTTAAATTAAGTGACAGCAGAAGAATTATCGTTGAACTTTTAAAAGGTAAGTTTAGATATTAATATAATACTTAAATGCAGTGATCAGTTACTGAGTTCTTCTGTAGTTTATTGTTGCCTATCACATCTACTCCTCTCTACCTATTGTGATGAAGGCCCAGGCAAGAGCCCTCCACAGAAACTAACAAATGCCACCCAAAAGAGTGGATTTTAAGCTAATAGTATAAATAATGCTTTTATTGGTCATCACACATTTATTAGAATAACGAAAAAAAGATATTATCATTGTTTTATGAATTAGAAATGCTGTAGTATATAACAATGTTTTTTTTAATTTATTTAATCAAAAAATAGAATAGAGAATAGCTGATATGGCATCAATTTAATTTTTATCTCTGGTATGTTACACCTTATTTATAAAAAGTTAATTGTTTACAGAGATTTAGTGATTAGCTACTTCAATAATTAAAAGCATAAGGTTTCTTACTGGAACATTTTATAATGGTGAAATAATGGTGGTGTAAAGAGTATATGCACAAAATAACTGACCAATTGATTTGCAATGCAAAGATAACATTTATTAAAATAAAATTAACAAAAGTAAAGTTTAAAACGAGTTTC